TTTATGTATTTGAAATTATTGCACTTCTTGTTCCACACATTGCTTGTATTATCCATAGAATAATCTTCACCAATCCAAGTTTACACAATTTTAATTCTGATAAATTTTTTATTTATTTTTTTTTCTATTTTGATTTTGAGCATTTCATATTGTACATCAACACTGTCTATCTGATGTTTCCTGCGCGGACCAATTTAACCAGAATCAGCTCAAGTGTCTATCAACTTGCCTTATTTCCTCTCATGTTTTATTATCACCACAGAAAATTTGGGCATGTTGCAAACTTTTGCGTGAGCAAAACTAAGAGTTGCTTCTTTATAGATAATGCCTCAAAAATCACGATGAGCGCATCGGCAAAGTCTGAAATGCTCTCACAACTTCACAATCTGCGCAAGAAATTTGCGTTTTTTATGAGCTTCCCGTTTCAAAAACGACACCTGTAACAGAATGTTCACCTGTGCCGTAGTATCGTTTTTGAAGCGGGAAGCTCAAAAAAACCGCAAAATGCGCAGATTTTGAAGTTGTGAGTGCATTTCAGACTTTGCCGATGCGCTCATCGTGATTTTTGAGGCGTAATCTCCAAGAAACAACTCTTGGTTTTGCTCACGCATAAGTTTGCAACAGACCCACTGCGAAAATCTTCGATTTGATTTTTCTTCAAATTTTCTGTCGTGATAATAAAACATGAGAGCAAATTAGGCAAGTTGATAGACAATTGAGCTGATTCTGGTTAAATTGGTCTAACTATGTTTCCATGCACCATCTATTTAGGCGTATCATTCAGGGCTCATGGAAGTTTCTAGATCCTCGTGGTCATTCTGAAGTTCTGAAGAGTTTAGTGTGAAAAGTTTCCCATTTTAATTTCAATCGTAAGAAGTCTTCGGGTACATAAACTGGTAATAATGTGAAGTGCCTCAATTAGTAATTTTCAATGTTCCGATCATCCGTTTGTCACCTTAATCTTTTATTTTGAGCCAGGTACACTTTTTCTTTTTGGTAGCTTTACTTGCGAGCAAAAAGTTTGCTGCAGAAGTTCACGCCGGTGTTACCCTGAGTTTTATTTTTAAATCTTCAAAGTTTGACTTTCTTTTGCAAGAAAATGGAACTGAGTCTGGCAACTCTCCAATTTCTTGCAAACTTTGATATTTTAACAATGTGGAGAAATGGTGTTGGGTTCACACCATTTCGCGGGGAAAACAAAGCCAAGATCTGATATTTTAATATTACTATACAGCTGCCGCTCTTCAAACTCCATATTTCTGTCTGATTCCGATCCCCCTATAATTTCTGTACCAAAACCTTTGGGAACTAAATAGGTGGTAGGAGACCCGTCAGGGTTTTTTTTTTTTTTTTTTTTTTTTTTTTTTTTTTTGTTCTTCCGGGAGAAAAAGTGGCGAATCTTATCGAAGATATGACAATTTAAGCATCTTGTTCCGCCGGCTGTGTAAACAAAGTCGGGGGTTTCGATTTCCATCCGTTTCGCACTACCACCCCAACATGGGGTGGGTTTCGGCCAGATGGTCATCTAAATGGTTAAACTATCATACGTTGGTTTAGGCTCTAATTTAGAAAGTTGCTCGGATCAGGAGCTGGCTAGGGAGATCGGAGACCGAGGTCGAGCCGACCAACTAAACCAAACTCACGGCTGCGTGTCTGCCCGGATAATGCCGGAATCATCCCTATTGGGGGATTTTTCTCCGGCTGCAACACTTAGTGTTGGGGTGGATTGGCTGTTTAAAGAATTGTTAGTTGCTATCTTGTTTTTAATAATTTTTGTTATGTATGTTTTAATGAGTTCCCAGTTTTCTGTTGAGTTAAGCATGAGATTCATAATGTTTGTCGGAGAGATATCCGTATCTAGTTTAGTTTCTAATTCTTTCTTGTTTCCCTCAATGTGTGTGCAGCCGAAGAAAGTATTCTCCGACGTATCCGGAGCAGACAAGCATAGGGGGCACAAAAGGGAGGGAACAAACTTAAATCTGTGTAGGTATGAGTTAAAAGAACCGTGTCCAGAGAAAAATTGAGACAAGTAGAAGTCGACGTCTCCATGACTGCGTTCAACCCGCCAGGGTTGGGACACTTTTTTTTAATGCTTTTGGGAAGCTCAAAAAACCTTTTTTTTTAAAGTCGAGCATGCACTATCGCCGAATGCTAATTTAGTTTCGTGTAGAGTCTCTGGTGACTATTTGGCGACGGCGCGGCGCGTTGCCTGATAACGCTCTCATGAAGGCGCACTCGTTCCTCTGTGAGTGTCGCACAGTTTACATTTGATTTGGAGCGGCCTATGTGCGAAACTAAATTCGGCGATAGTAAATTCTGAGTTAAGACCCTAAGTTAACTATTATTTCATGTTTTTGAAAAAATTGATTAAAAACTAAACCTTCTGGAATGGTTTTTTAAAAAATTCCAAAAGTGTCCCAACCCTAACACCTCTGTTAGGGTTGGGACAGGCATTACTTAGAGAGGGTTGGGACATTACATCATTAACCACAGGTTAAAGATTTAAACAAGTGTATTATATTTAAGAAACAAGTCATAATGAGTTTGAAGTAAGAAAAGAGAAAATAGGTACTGAGTAAGTAGGAGTAATACATAGTAGAAAAAGGTATGGAAGTAGCCTAAAAACTAAAAAAATGCTAAGGTTTTGGTGCAAAAATTTTACAAAAATTTTGGTTTTCCGCCTTTTCCTCCACTTAAAAGTATAAACATTGGACATTATGAGAGTCGGTAATCGTATGCCTAGATACCTACCTATCGAATAATAGAAAAGCTTAAGATAGGAAGATTTTTTTTTGGAAAAATTAAGAGGAATAAAATTTTTGGAAAAATTAAGAGGCTTTTTTTGGAAACATTAAGAGCATTCAGCTCGGTGCAAACTATCACCGAAATAGTTAAATATTTACCTACTTTACTCACTAATAGTCATGGAAACTCTTCACCATACCTACTGTATCCTATACTAGGTATACTAAATAAAGACATGAAAAAAAGTTAAGGCAGCACTTAGATATATATACCGTTTACTTATAAACGGTAACTAACGTTAGTGTCCTACTTACGCTGTTTTCCACTAAACTGTTTTTTATGAAAGTTCCGTTCCTTGCTTTCCTCGGTAACCTTTATTTGCTATCAGCTGATCTTTTATTTCCATTCCCCGGCCAAGTCAGCGGATTTTATATTTCCTGTTGTTGTTGTTTTTCGTTTGATAAATCATTGCTAGGTTAGTTCTAATTTTTACAGAGGTAGACAGGGCTCTTAGCTGTGGTGAAAGCAACCTGTCTAGGAGAGGCAACCCCGAAATCAAACTCTGGCCCTCCACGTTGGGGGTTGGGGCATCGGGCTGACTCCCCGATCCTCGGAAAAAATATACAATGTCAAAAAACCTAACCAAACAGCCTCGGTAACCACGGAAAAAAACGGACTCTTCGACTCAAACTAAGAAAAAGGACACTGAATTTTGGAACTTGGAATGTCCAAGGGATATCGACGAAATTGACGGAGCTTTGACGGCTTAGCATGATTTTTAAAATGTTCCAAATAAGTTGCAAAGGTTGGCCCTGTCATCCATCTAGACTCCCAAGCAGGATTTAGAGCCAGAAACAGATCTGTCCAACATTCGGTCTGTCAGTTTCTTCCTGAGAAATACATAAAAAAGAGGAATTGAGTTCCCAATTGCAATAGCAGTTCCACGTAGTGTGACTAGAGTTCCTCTCTCAGCAAATGTCACCTTATTTACCTGTTTCAATCCTTTTTCCGTTACGACATTCTTAGGACGCTGAACTGTCGTGAGGTCTACCTCATCGCAATTATGTATATTCTGTGGAGGAAAGTTAAACCTTGTCACTAAGCTTTGGAGATTGTCCTAAAAATCTCCCACATTTTTCTAATTAAAACTTTTACATCTCGAAAGGCCAGTTGCTTCGGGTTTACGCACGGATAATTTGTGCCGAGCCATAAAAGATGACAACCAATCTTCTCCAGCCCGTTCAGCCCCAATCCATGTTTTTGGCATTTTTCTCTTGTTAGCTGAAATGCCAATTCTCTGGTTTTCTACTCTAGAGAGTCCATAACATAATTTAGAAGATTCGCCAATGTAGTCTTTTAATTGAATTTCCTCAGCCGCCGTAAAAACTTGTGAAGTGCAAAATACTGACCCATGATCTGCAACGCGGGATGCCAATTCTTGAAATTTGGGAGGATTTTGACGTACCCCTCAAAGGATGATTTAGTAATCCCATACTTAGCCGCAACATGGCAAAGTTTACTGCAATCCTTATATTCTTCTTTGGCCTTGAGAATATTGGCGATTCTTCCCGCCTCCTTGTTTGCTTTTTCAGCTGGATCTTTAAGTGTTGTTCTGTCTTTTTTAGGATTGGGCATTGTTAGACATCTGAAAGAAAATAAAAAGAAGCATGGTTGCGATGCATATTCATTTATTGGGAAGAAACAAGCAAGGTTAGACATAAAAATTAGAAACCTAACCTACTCAGGGAGGGTTGGGACATTTTGCAAACCTGTCCCAACCCTCCCGTCCGAACCCTGCCTGACGGCCGAAATGTAAACAAACAACTGAATAAAAAATTGTGGTTATGTTTTGAATGATTGGGCATGGAGGATATACAATCTAATGTATAACAACTGCTTACCCCCATTTCCGCAGTTCTGAGCAAAATATAAAATGGAATTCCTGAAACATTTCCATAATTCAAAAGTCAGAAAAACATGAGTGAAAATATACAGACATACCTGATAAATCGAGATGCTGAGCTGCAAACGCCAATCTTCGTACAACAGTGTGATGTGACCAATAGACAAATAATTACCTCACCCGAACTCGGTAGTGCCAACCTAAACTGAGAAAAATCAAATTTCCCAACCCTCCCCGTGTTCCAACCCTGCCGGGTCTCCCGATGTGAAGATGTTGTAAATAATTTTATGCCGTGCGAATCATTACGTTTGTAACTGAAATTATGTATTCTGAACTATATTTTATGTTACAGAAAATGGCTGACAGTTCCTTTGTTAATGCTGTGTTCTGGTTTCTTGTCCTCTTATTCCTCTCGTATTGGATTGCGAGCATCTGCTTCATCCCGTACCTAATTATCAGTATCTTAACACCATGCTTCCCAGGCTTGAAAGCTGTTTCAGATCTTCTACTTGCAGGGATCATGTTTCCTTACAAATGCTCCGACAACATGGTTAACAGGCGCTCTTACAACTCCATCTAAATTGTAAGGAATTAATTAGTTTGATTTGGTATATTTTACTTTATTTCAAGGGAAGGATATTCTATTTCCTTATCTGTTGAACAGGTTAAAAAGGAAACCATTTGGGTGCCAATATACGAGGGTCGTCCAGAAAGTAAGTTCACTTGTTGAATATCTCCTAAACTAAGGCCAGTATAGAAAATCTGTAGAAAGCGTTGAAAATTCACTACTCTCAGCTCTCTAACGCGCCATAGGTTTTTAATTTGGTTTGATAGAACTCAAGAAAAGTGGGCTTTTCTGAACCCGCCTCCTCTCCACACGGGTTCAAAATTTCACTGAGCTTCATTCGCAAATGAGCCGCTGTGTATCGCTTATGGCAAAAAAGTGGCTTAGAGGTGGTTGAAATACATGTAAAACATAAGTAAAGACTTTTCTTAGGTGGGAAATAGCAGGATTAGCCGTGTCTACTTTAAAATCAGCTGCATCCGAGCAAAAGTTTACAGAAGTGTCAACGTAAATCCCTACAAACTGAAACCTTCACAAGCATTCCAATTATCCTGCCTGTTCTCGAGGAAATTTCGTCAAAGATCCATGATTTAGAAAAATTTGCAGCTTTTACAACTTTTTTATCATAAATGAACAAATGAATATGTGTGATCAAAACCCCTTACTCAAATTTTCTTGTCATTCGGCATCTCGTGACAAGGATTCATGTTATGATAGGAAATGCCAGAGGAACTTACCTACCTCCAAATCCTTCTGTAGTTGACAGAAAGCTTTTCTGACTCTTCTTTGTGAGTATTGAGTAAGGTCTGCGAGTCTTCTGCCTGTAACACATGTATGACAGCGCAGAGCCATCTGTTGGCTTTCACGTTCATCCCTACCTTTTGTATCTCTTGCACCCGCCTGTCTGTTCACCATCTTTACTTCTTATTAAAGGTACAAGTCATGAACTACAACAGCTGTTTCTTTTGTTCGTATCCTCATTTAATTAAAACGTGACCACTCTTAAATGTTATGGCGCCCAGTAATTGCGTGCGTAATTATCGAATTGTGTTTTAGTGCAAGAAAACGTGCTCTGATGTTTCGAACTTTGAATTCTTTGAAAAACGTGTGTAGCCGGTCTAACAACCCAAGAATCGTGACCTAAAGTTGTCGGTATAGTTTGTATTTCGCAATCGAAGTCAAAGAAATTATGAGTGATGTAAAAGATAACAAGTTCATATTTAATGTGCCGATGCTCAGTGGAAATAATTTCAACAATCCGAAATTCAGAATCATCTCCATCCTCGATCAGAAACAGATATCTCATGTGCTGGAAAGTGACGGACCCGCGGCCGACGCAGTGAGTGAGACAAAGAAGGAAGGATATAGTGAAGGACTCGAAAACGGCCAAACAGATGTTAGAGGCAGTATTTTAAGGAAAGTGCGTTCACAAAATTAATTTTATGGAGAAAGATAATCAATCTCAAATGTGGGTCCACCAACAAACTTGAAGATCACTTTCTCAAGTATAACGTCATAACCAGAGAGCTGGAAGATGTTGGTACTAAAATTGACGAACAAGATAGAATCTGTCTGTGCTACTTTCTTTGGGGAAAGACTTGGNGGGGGGGGGGAGGGGGGACTTTCTTTGGGCAGTTATCACTGCTTTAGAAACTATCCAAGACTTCAAAATGGACTATGTGAAGGCACGTCTCTTGAACGAAGAAATCAAGTTGAGGAATCGCCATTCGGCGCCTGCAAGTGGATCATCGGAAGCTAGCTTTGCAGCAGGTTATAAACTGTGCTATGAATGTAACGAAGCTGGTCATTTTGTTCGTGACTGTCCTGAACGTACTCAAGAACATCGTGGCAAAGGCAACGGTTACTATCGAGGAAGTAATCAGGGACGAAACAATCACCGAGGCAACAATAGAGGGCGATATAGAAGAGGATCAGCTCACATTTCTAAAGAGAAGGAAATACCTTTCTTCGCATTCAACACGAATGAAGTTAGTTTAATCAGCAAAGAAGGAAATGACGTTTTTATTCTAAACTCCAGAGCAAGCAGCCACATGGTGCTGTATTGTATGCTAAAAAATTTGTACGATATTTCTTATTTTAATAAAGGATTTCCTATTGAAATTGCAAATGGCGAATCAATGACAGCTGTTGCTGTAGGAAAATTAAAATATTTGTGTCATGAAAATCTTATTGTAATTGAGGCTCTAATAGTTAGAGTATTGACCCATAGTATGTTGTCAATCAGAGTACTCGCAGACAAAGGATACAAAGTCATTTTTTCTCAAGGCAATACACACACTTGTTTAATAGGTTAGAAAATAGAATGTGAACAAGAAAAAGGATTATATTATCTAAATGGGCCTCTTAAAGGACATGAAAACTGCAACATTGCTAATTTGTGGCACAGGCGATTAGGTCACGTAAATAATGATAGCTTAGGACAGCTTGACTTACTTACCTGTTACTAGTAATAAGTCTGAAACTTGTATTGAGGGCAAAGCTAAAAGATTACCATTTCCTTCTCATGAGAAACAATCTCGTTCAATAGGTGAATTAATTCACTCAGACATAAGTGGCCCTATCACACCAACAACGAATAAGGGTGAAAGATATTTTCAGGTCATAGTTGATGATTTTTCTAACTTTGTTGTAGTAAAACTTTTGAAGACGAAAGATGAAGCAGAAGAAATCTTATTTGTCATATTAATGAGGTAGAAAGGCAAAAATATGTATTTGTTAAAAAAAAGTACGTCTGGGTAATGGCGGAGGGTTTACGTCTAATTATTTCAAAGGTATAATGCGACACAAAGGTATCTTGCTCGAGTACACGAGTGCTTATAGTCCACCTCAAAACGGAAAAAGCGAGCGTATGAATCAAATATTACAGAATAAGTTTAGAGCAAAACTTAAAGACTCTGCAATCTCTAGGAATCTCTGGGGAAAAGCTATCCCATGTAGTGCATTTGAATAGAATCGTTCTCCTTCAGAGAGTTTACCCGCTGGTAAAACATTAGCTCTTTTTTGGCATGGTAGGCAAGACCTTAGTAAACTAAGAATATTTGGATGTAGGGCTTGGTGCATCACTTTACCAACTGAATCAAAATTGGAACCATGAGCTAAACGTGGAGTAATGGTAGGTCATTGCGACAGTGGGTACAGAGTCTGGCTTCCACAAAAATAAAAAGTAGTAAAATCTTGGGATGTTAGATTTGATGAATTGGTCGCCGAATATCGAGATCAAAATAAAGGTTTCGAGATGTGATTTCCTCCAAAATTTTACGAGAAGTATGCACTCGGAGAGTTTTTATTAGAAAAGATATATTTTAACAATTTAGAGTTGCGGTGTTGCCAGCTTTCAAAGCAAAGAGAACTTTCTGTCAACCTGAACCGCTCGTTTTTCCCGACTCATCGCTTTAACCAGTCTCTCTTGTTAAGTTAACTGCACCCATGAAGTAAGTAATGGCATAATTTTCATGGTACCTAAATGTAAAGGGACAGAAGAATCATAATGTCCCGAGTTGTACGCGGCTTCTATTGCTGTACAAGAATTTGTCATCGTCAAAAGAATTTTAACAGATATGAATAATTCTCCTAAAAAATACTGGACTTCTTATAATAGATACTGAATCTGCTGATTCAGCAATCTGGAACTTTGAAAATTCAAAAGGGGCTAAGCATATCGATATAAGGGCACATTTTATTAAAGATTTGTATAACAAGAAGGTTTTTGAAATTCAACACATTCCTAGCTCTGAACATGTTGCTGATACTTTTACCAAAGCTCTGCCCGAAGAATTGTTTGTCAAACATTGAAACAAAATTTTCGACAATTAAAGGCATTCGATTTTTTTTTATTTTCCCTTTTCTTCAAAGCTTAATTTAACATGACTCATAGAACAAATTAATAATCACTTGCACTATACTTAGTTACATAGCCGCTTAACTCGTAGTATGAAACTGCAAAACTTTCTTTTTCTTCTACTCTTTAATTTTTGTTTTGTCTTAATAACAGTGCCAATTTTCTTTACAAAAAAAGGGGGAGCAAAGTTTCTTTTCTAGTGCTCTCAATTGTATTTTATCTTGTGAAGCGATCCAATTTTTTTTCTCCTTGGTATGTAAAAAAAAAAAAAATAAAAAAAAATGATAAAAAATAAAAAAACTTTCAACCNGGGGGGGTGTTACACATATGTGGCAGCGCAGAGCCATCTGTCAGCTTTTACGTCCATGCCTACCTTGCATCTCTTGCACCCGACTGTCTGTTCGGCATCTTTACTTCTTATTAAAGGTATAAGTCATGAACTACAATAGCTGTTTCTTTAGTTCGTATCCTTATCTAATTAAAACCTGACCAACCGTAAAAGTGCCTCCTTTAACTCTTCAAAATATGCCTCTGAATTACGAATTACTAATGTACTAAATACTTTAAGTAGGTAAGCATTTTTGATAGGAGCTGTTCCATCCACTGCAAACGTAAGACAAATCCTGCACCTTTTATTGTGTTATTTTGTTATAAAGGGTGGGCTAGAAGTTCCAGGACGGCCAGCTAACTTTTGAACGGCTGCTCGTAGAAAAACAAGATTTTGAGAATGTTTCTAGGTCATTGCAAGCTACATTTTTGCGAATGCAAAATTTCGGTGGTTTCGCCCCCGGGCGCCTGCGCAGACCCTAAAAAAAAAATTTCAAATATGCAATTCTGGCGAAAAGAAAAAGTGTTGTCGATTTTCCGTTTCAGAGATATTCACGGTCAAAGTTTGAAATTGACCTAATTTCAAAAATTCATTAGTGCAATTTGAATTGATAGCGAGAAACAAACGAGAGGTGTAAATTACTCATAATTAAGAGTACCTTTAAGAAAATATCATAACTTTTAGTTTTTTTCTATTTTGAGACGGAATTAGAGACCTCAAATATTTTGAAAGTTTGAGCTCCTGTTTCTCTCTCTAGAACGGTTGCTGTTTCGGCAATCGGTCTTGGAATTTTATTAGAAATACTCGCTCGGGATTTCTCGCTGTTACTGT